CGCCGTGGCCGTGTGCGCCAGGGCGAAGGTGTCGTTGGGGAGGGGAGGGGCGAAGGCCCAGCGGTCCACGCGAGGGTCGTAGCGCTCCACTGTGTTCAGACACTCGCCCCCAATGGCGTACAGGTAGCCGTCCAGGGCCACCAGCCGGCAGTGCGGCCGGGCTTGGTTCAGCGGGCACACCTCGCTCCAGATCCCCGTCAGAGGGTTGTAGCAGAAGACCCGGCTGGAGGGCCGGCACCCGGACCCCTGGCACCCGGACACCACGAACACATAATTGAAGAGACTGCAGATGGCACAGCCGCGGGACACAGCCTCCGGGGGCAGCGGGGCCAGCAGGTGCCAGACATCCTGCTCATCGTCATAGCAACAGAGGCGGCCAGCGTCTTCCTGGGGGCACACGTCGGCCACCACCAGGTGCTTGCGGCCCCTCAGCCGCCTCTGGAGGACCAGCTCCCGCTCGGCCCCGCTCAGGCGCCCGTAGATGTCCGGGCTGCGCAGGACCTGGAGGTAGTTGTCACTCATCACCTTGTAGGCGGCCTCCTTCAGCGCCTCCAGGTTCTGCCTCTTGGCCAAGGTCAACACCTCATAGCAGTTGCCCAGGTCCAGGCGGACATCAGGGGCTGACCCTGGGGTGAGAGGGAAGTGGAAGAAGTTGGTCCCGGCCACGAGCTCCAGGTGGGGGACCCCGCTGCTTCCGGCTGCGCTGGACTCCAGAGGCTCCTCGGATATGGGGGGGCTGGATGGGGCGGTCTGGTCTGTGCCGGATGGAGCGGGGCTCCCGAAACCGTGGAGCTGCAGCTGGAACTCGGGGTTGTCCACGATCTGAAGGAGGCTCTCCTTCCTGCTGAAGCCCCCCGTGGGGGGCAGCACCGGCTGGGGGGAGGCGGCTGGATCGGCTCCCCCTTCTCTGTCATCGTCAAGGCCTCTGGGGACTGTCCCTGTTCCCAGGGGGCCTGGCACAGGAGGTGGCGCCTTCGCCAGGGCGGCGGTCCTGGGGGCCAGCCTGCCTCTGGAGGTGGCCTGGGAGGTAGATTCCACGTAGTACTCGTACACCTTGCCCTGCAGCCTGGGCCGCATCCCCGCCACCTTCTCCTGTAGGAAACTCTCTTCTACTCGAACCCGGGCCACCGAGGAGAAGGTGTAGGAGGCGTTGGTGGCCCCCTCCTGCTGATGCAGGGCCAGGCCCATGTTGGAGGCGGCCCGGAGGGCCCCCACCTCTTCCCTGCAGGCCCCCAGCACGTGGGTGAGGACCCAGCTCTGGCTCCTGTCAGTCTTGCCTTCCCAGTGGGCCATCCAGGGCTGGAGGGGGGACGCCTGCTCCCCAGCCCCTGGCTGCTCGGGGAGCCCGTCGTCCTGCCATGGAGCTGGCCCACCCCCCACGCCGCTGCCGTCCACCGCAGCCAGGACAGCTGGGGAGCTTTTGGGTTCACTGCCCAGAGGGGGGCGGTGGGGCAGTTCGGGCTTACCGCCAGCAGCTGTTCCGGCGTCCTGGCCACCGCAGAGAGGAGGTGCCAGGCCGGACTCCAGGCACCGCCCACCCTCGTCCTCACCGGCTCCTTTCCTCTTGGGCTTCCAAATCTCTCCGGCTTCCAAGTTGCTGGAAGGGGTTCCCAGGACCTGGGAGCCCCCCGGATTCTCCCAGCTGCCGCCCAACGGTACTCCAGGCCCCTTGCTTCCGCTCCGGCATCTCAGGCCCCGATGGGGTGCCCCGGGAGCAGCCCCCTGGGCTTCAGGCTGCCCGGAGCCTTCTGCCTCCTCCTCGGCCTTGGCCTTGGTGCTCCTGCCCCACAGCGGGGCTCGGGCAGGCCTCGACTTGTACAGCCGGTAGGCTGCGGTCAGCAGGAGCAGGGTGGCCGCGGACAGCACCACCTTGCCCGTCAGCTGCATGTCCAAATGCCAGTCCTGGGCCTCGGCTCCTCCTCCTCCTTCAGGGAGCATGTTTCCCAAGCCAACCTGGGGCGGAGGAATGTCAAGAATCTGATTAATAATTGCCCAATGGGGGCCGGCTCCTGGTTCCTGCTGAGCTGAGCGGAGGGGGTTCTGGGCCGGCTCTGGCCAGCTGAGGAGTTGGAGCAAAGGTGACTTTGAGCTGGCAGAGGGCGGCCACTGAGCCCCGGCCGGCTGGCGGGCAGATCCCAGCGCTGGCCTCCTGGGATCCGTCAGTGCCTTCCCTGGGGGTGGGGTCTGCCCCGGGGCTGAACTTGTGATCAGCCACCTGAGCCCGCAGCAGCTGGCGGATGTCAGGAGTGTCCGGCGGCTCCTGAAGAGGGAGGAAGCTCTTGACCAAACATCACCCGATGCTAGAGACGCAGGGGGTTGGTCACTGTTTGTGTGCGTGCTTTATTTTCTCTTTTGCAAATCAGCTGCGCTGGGAGGGTTGGGTGTGGCGAGTGTGGGGCAGGTGGAGCCTCCGCAGGTGTGGTGGGAGACCCACCTGGGTCCATTTTTCTCCCTCTTGGGGGCCCCCTGGTTCCCACAGTGCGGGCGGGGTCTGCAGGGAGCAGCAGGGGAGGCTGAGCCTGGGACTGCCGCCAAGCCACCTGACCCGGTTCTTGATGCCTCTGCCCTCCTGAGAAAGCTCGGGAAAAACACGTGGCATTCATGTCCGGGCCAGGGGCAGGCGCGGGGCACAGTCTCACCCTCCAAACCGGACGGCCTCCCAGGAGGAGAGGCCGAGGGAGACTCACCCGCACCATCTCACCAGGGCAGGGGGTTCCAGGTCCCGACTACCCGGCTGTGTGACGTTAGGTGTGTGACCTCACCTCTCTGGGCCTCAATGTCTTCATCTGAGAAATGGGGGTGACAGCACACCAACCTCCTCAGGTTGTGGTGAGAACAACATGGGCTAATGTGTGGAAAGCCTCGTAGAAGCTCAGTCGCTATCAGCCATTCTTTCCCTCTCTTCTCTTCCTCCTTCTTCTCATCCCCGTTCTGTCACTCTATGAATCAGCATCCGCTGGACCTTCCGTAGCACAAATCTAATTGTGTCCCTCTGTAGACCGAGGTCCTCTCTGGGTCCCCAAAGACCAGGGTAGGGAGCTCAAACCTGTGCTCCCCACAGGAGCCAGGCAGGTAAACCGAGGATTCACCCTGTGAGGGTGCCAGGCGGGCAGGCCCAGCACTGCCAGGCCCCACTGTTCAGAGACACTTACTCTAGGCAGTGATGCGATCAGTTGTGATTTCTAAATGATGGCATCTAATTAAAAAATGAGAATAAGCCCTGACCGGTTTGGCTCAGTGGGTGGAGCGTTGGCCTGCGGATTCAAGGGTCCCAGGTTCGATTCTGGTCAGGGGCATGTACCTTGGTTGTGGGCACATCCCCAGTAGGGGGTGTGCAGGAGGCAGCTGATCGATGTTTCTCCCTCATTGATGTTTCTGGCTCTCTGTCTCTCTCCCTTCCTCTCTGTAGAACATCAATGGAATATATTTAAAAAGGAGAGAGAGAATAATCCCCACTCTGTGAGGAATTTATCTCTGAAGCCTTGACGAGGAGAAAATCCTGACCGATGCCTGTGTCCACAGCCCCTCACACTCCAGCCTCGGTTTACCCCCCCCCCCCCCCCCCCCGAGTTCATCTCCTGTTGGCTGCCTCACGTGCCTGGGCTGGGCTGGGGCTCCGCCCGACCTTCTCTGCTGGTCCACATCCCCGAGCCCTGCGGAGTCGACTCAAAGACTGTGCCTCCCGTGCCTTCTTCCCGGTGAATCCACCTGCCCACCATCATCTTCTCCTTCGTTGGGCCTCTTGTTCTTGGTTCCTCTTTTAGCCTCTATCATGGGCCGTGGGTCAAAGTGCATTCTGTTCTCAGGTGCTGGATTCCAAGCCCCCGAGGCTGGTGTGGGGCCGGTGTAATAGGGACAACAGCCCGTGTCTTACAGGCACCGCGACGGAGGTGGGCGCGCGGGACGAGTCTCATCTCCTGCTCAGCGTTTGTTTAAGAAAAGTACAATCGTCACCCCGACTTTACAGCAGCTCCACGCTTACGTCGCTTTGCTTGTAAACAGGGGCTTTCCTCTCTGTTTCCAGACCCCGGAGTTTTGCTGACCTGAGTTCATCCAGTGGCCTCCTCCCCTGCTCCCCTGGGGACGGGCAGCAGGGTCCCTGTCTTCCCATCGTGGTCAAGGCAGTGATCTTGAATTCCACAGGCACTGAGCGGAGCGTGTGTTAGAAATTCAGCTTCCAAGCCCCTCCTCTTCCCGCCCGTTACTGATTCGGGAGGTTTGGGGGGGCCCCCAGGAAATCCCCATTTTTCAACAATCCTCTCCGGAGATTTCGGTGGGTCTAGGAACATAAACTAGGTCAGTGTTTCTACCCACCTGCTGAGAATTCCTCTTCATCCTGGGTGGGGCGAGCAGTTACTCCTTAGATCACCAAGGTGAGTCCCAGGGAACAGAAGGGGGTGGGGGAGGGTGGGGATGAAGTCCTGGCACTTTGCATAAGTAAAGTAATTTCATTTCCCAGGAATCTGGAGAGGGGTCTTGTCAACAGGTGAGGAAACGGAGGCTCAGAGGGATGAGTCAATGTCACATCGGTGGTGAGTGGCAGGTCTTGATTTATATCCAGGCCTCTGTAGCTGCCTGGCCCATGGGTCTTCCCCTGGGAAGGGGAGGACCAGGTGTGAATGGCAATAAGAAGGAGGTGTCCAGGGCTGTGGGGCTGATGTGGGGTGGGGACAGCTGTGGGACTCTCCTACCCGTGGAGAGGGAAGGACTTGTTGCACACCCCCCTCCCCCCGTAGGTGTGTGGTGACCTCTCAGATGCCACCTGGTGAGCAGGGTCTGGGCCCCTTTGATGTGCGGTTTTCTACCCAATAAAGGCTCCACTGTGCCCTGGAGTGCTCTCCCTGCGGCTCCAGGGTAAACCGGTTGAGTCAGGCAATCACCCCTTCCAGTTGGAACCTGTTCTTGGGCACCGCGTGTGGCCAGACCAAGCCCCTGGGGCAGCAGGGAAAGGGGGGGACCATGGGAACCATAGACTCAGGCTCAGCCCCAGGGGACTGATGTCCTGATCGGGAAGATGGCACATGCCTCCAAGTTATGATCAAGCCACAGTCTATCAGAAAGGAAAAATTAACGAGGCCAGGGAAGGGTTCTAGAAGGAGGTGCTTAGCATTGACTATCGATAAAGGAAGCAGGGGCTTAGACTGGTTGATGGCTTGAACCCATATTTACCGGATGCTTATCATGTGCCAGGCCCTGTGCTGGGATGCAGTGACATAGGTTAAAGAAACATTCGTGGCCCAGCCAGCGTGGCTCAGTGGTTGAGCCTTGATCTATGAACCGGGAGGTCACGGTTCTATTCCCAGTCAGGGCACATGCCTGGGTTGTGGGCTCGATCTCCTGTAGGGGGCGTGCAGGAGGCAGCCGATCAGTGATTCTCATCACTGATGTTCCTATCTCACTCTCCCTCTCCCTTCCTCTCTGAAACCAATAAAAAGCAGTATCTATATATAAAAAGGAATACGGGTGGCCCCGGTGCCCATGGAGACTGCCCGACTCGGGGGAGGGGGGGGGAGAAGATGCTGAGTGAGGTGGTGAAGTGTGACGATGCTCCTGCTGGCTCGGCGCTTCCTGGGACCTTCCCTAGCTCGAGGGCAGAAGTGACACCTGTGACACAGCTGAGCACAGAGGAGCCTTCATTAAAGGAGGCTTCCCGCTGTCCGCCCTCCAGTGCAGCTCTGAGAACACAGCCACCGAGATTGTGTTAAAATGCAGGTTTTATTGTTATTCAAGTTCAGTGAGGCCAACACATCTGGAGATGAGTGCTCTCGAAAAGATAGAGTGTTACTCGCAGTTCCCATGAGGAGTTCCCCCTTTCCCAACAGGCCACGCCAGACAGGGCCACACTGGGAAGCACCGGGGGCTGTAGGGATGCAGAGGGGCGAGGGGAAAGCGTAAAAGCCTTTATTGTGGTTTTCCTGGGATGGAGCGAACAGGGCAGGGTTAGCGGGGTTAGGATTGGCTCGCTTGAGTCATTTCAGGGGCCTCCGGGCTGCCTGTAGTGGTTCATGCCTGGTCTGGGGGTGATAAGGGCAGGGAATGTTGGCCCTGGTGAGTAAGAGCCTTGTGAGAACCTGAGAAAGGTGGTGGTTGGGGTAAAGGCTTTGGGTTGGTTCATCTGCATGTGAAAGGTGTCCTAGGCCAGTCATTGGCTATCTAGGAACTAGCTAACCTGGGCCTGGAAGTCCCTCCCCATTTAAGGTTAGCAGGCCTGGATGTCAGAGCATAGGGGTGCAATTTACAATAGCTAAGCCCTGGAAACAGCCCACGTACCCATCAGTAGATGAGTGGATGAAAAAGCTGTGGTACATTTATACCATGGGATATGATGCAGCAGTAAAAGAGAAGGAACTCTCACCCTTTGAGACAGCATGGAGCAGCGGTTCTCAACCTGTGGGTTGCGACCCCTTTGGCGGTCGAACGACCCTTTCACAGGGGTCGCCTAAGACCATTGTGCAGATCAGATATTTACATTATCAGATTCATAACAGTAGCAACATTACAGTTATGAAGTAGCAACGAAAATAATGTTATGGTTGGGTCACAACATGAGGAACTGTATTTAAAGGGCCAGAAGGTTGAGAACCACTGGCATGGAGGGACCTGGAGAGTATTGTGCTAAGAGAAATAAGCCCATCAGAGAAAGACAAGTATCACATGATCTCACTCACATGTGGAATCTAAAGAACGAAATAAACTGATGAGCAAAACAGATCCATGGGCATAGAAGCATGGAACAGACCATGGAAGCTCAGAGGGGAGGCAGGGGTGAATGGGAAGAGATCAACTAGAGAACGTGTATGCATATATGCATAACCCATGGAACAGACAATAAGGGTGGTGAAGGCCTGGGGCGGGAGGAGGGTGGGCTGGAAGGGGTCAATGGGGAATAAAAGGGGACATCTGTAATACTTCCAACAATAAAGATTATAAAAAAGAATACAGAGAATAAGAGGCTATAGATACCATAGAGTCAGGAGACAGAGGAGCAGGAACTTGGGGGCCCCTACGAAGCAGGGCCATTGGAGTGAGCTTTCGACTCTACCCTGAGGTCCCTTTCCTGACAGGTGAACCAAACACTCCCACTGGCTGACTCCAGACTCCATAAATTAAACCTTTTTTTTTTTTTTTAGTCTGTTTGGAAAAAGTGAAATGAACAAATGAAGACAGGAGCGAAATTAAAAGATAATTGGAAGTCTATATTGGGCTTCTGCGAACGTGCTTGCGTGCCTCCAATCTGGCCTCCCCGTGCGGGCAGG